TATAATATAATTATTATGTATGTTATATAATGAATTATTTTTATTTAATAATTTATTTGTGATATCTATCAATTTAAAAATCAGGAACATAATTATCTCAATTTTTGTTTATGGTGCAAATCTTAAGGGTGGTGTTATTGCCACAGCCACTACTGTTAATACCACAGCTTTTTTTAATTATTTGACTATTATACCCCTCATTTGAATCCAACTTGCAGCAGTCACCACCTTCTCCGCGTGGGTTAATGGTCAATTAATTAAAAAAGCTGTGGTGTTAACCTGTGAAGCTGTGGCAATAACACCACCCAAATCTTAATTGCAGCTCAAAGTCATTAGTTGGTTCACTGTTGAGCTTGTGTTCTTGGGCATAGTGGCGACATGCACATTACGAATAAGAAAAGAAAAACACATGAGCAGAGATAGCCCACGCAAACAGGTCGGATTGGGTTATATCGATTCTCAGATTGTTTAAATTGGGTTATTTCTAGTGTCGAGTTAAGGAGGTTAATCTATTATCCATTTACCCAGGTTCGGATTGATTCGGTAGACCCAACTTTTAAAAAATTAAAATTAAATTTTTTTAATATTTTTTTTTACAAAATCTAATATTAATTAACTATTTAGTTAAAAAACTTTATTATTAATTAACTATTTAGTTAAAAAACTTATTAAACGTTAATATCCATTTCATAATTCAATTTTTTTCCAATTTAAAAAAAAAAAAAAGATGAAAAGATTAGTGATTATATAGGTGAAACTAAAATATATGTCAAATATATAATATTTATACAATATTTAAAATTCATAATTGTAGGAAATAGGCATATTTTGTAATTTTGTTTTATATTAAGGGTTTTTATGTAACTTTACATTTTATATAACCTAATATAAATATGCTGCTAAGGGTGAGCAGCTCTGTAAGTTGTTTTGCACCCTCCACTTCCGCCTCACTTTTCATGGTATCAGAGTAGATTTCGCCAGTTCCTAAGATATCGTCGCCAGCAGGGGTTTTGACTCCATAACCACCAGCCTAGTATCGAAGGTGAAGCCATTGTAGAGGAGATTTCGCCAGTTCCTAAGACATCACCATTGGCAGGGGTTTTGACTCCATAACCACCGGCTCAATATCGGAGGTGAAGCCATTGCAGAGGATTTCGACGCTGAAGCTGAACCAGATTCCTCCTTTCTTGTTTTGTCACAATCATAGTGTGGATTGGAGATTGGATTTCTTGATTGGGTTTTTCATCTCGTATTGATGATAATATCGATTACCCTTTTATTTGCTTTTCTCCTTGGTTGATTTGCATCTTGATTTGTTGCTACGGAATTGGATTCAATGATGACCGAGAAAAATGAGACTTTGGCTATCAAATTAGATGGAAAGAATTTTTCTTTGTGGAAATTCCATTTTTAATTCTTTGTAGAAGGCAAAGGTTTGTGGGGCTATATTGATGGAACCGAGCCTATACCTGAAGCATCAAAAATCAAAGAACTTCAACAGTGAAAAATGAATAATGCAAAAATTGTTTCTTGGATTTTGGCTTATGTTGATATTAATATTGGAATCCCTATGTGAGGATTTCGCACTGCTAAGGCAATGTGGGAACATCTTGAAAATATCTATCAGCAGTCAAATTGGGCTAGGAAATTTCAGATTGAATTTGACATTTTCAAGTTTGCACAGTGTGATAAAAATATTCAAGACTATTATGCTGCTTTCATGAGTCTGTGGATTGAATATGAGTAGGGGATTATGGGTGACCGTGAGGATTGTTGCTTACAGAGTTTACAGACTCTGAATGATGAAAGAAAAGTGATGCAATTTTTGATGAAGTTAAGACCTGAATTTAAGCCTCTTCGTGCCAGTATATTAAACCGGGTAAAATTGCCCTCTATGGATAAGTTATTGGGAGAGCTCCTTCGTGAGGAGACTAGACTTTCAACACAAGCCACGCTAGACAAAGGGGAAGCTGAAATTGCATTTGTTGCTAGTAAAACCTTGGGAAAGACATCGCAGAAGGATTTTTCTAAGGTGCAATGTTTTGAATGCCAAGAATTTGGCCATGTTGCATCTTGT